AGAAAAATGACTGGTGATGATGCAGAAAAGCTTTTTTTCTCCTCTCAAATTTTCCCTGGTGGAGAGCAGATAAAGAAATCCTGACCCACTAACTTCAATCAACTCTCCTAGTACTGCTAGAGTCATGGGCCATGGCGACCAATCATGGTAAACAGATGGGTGCAAAATTATCATTCTATTACTCCCACAGACACATGTTTTTGCATAATTGAAGGTGATTGATTAAATTCACCAAAGAGTTTACTTGATCAGGATTTGTGTAGCCTTGACAAGCTCGTGTGTATGCCATCCACCAGGGACACAACTAGGATTTCATTATCTAAGGGGTCAAAAGAAAAATAATTTTTTTTCACCATATACACAAAATACACAAAACACACATGTACATATATATGATATATAAATTATCTATACATAAAAAAAAAATTAAAAAAAAACCATAGAAGCAATTTCTAATAGGATGAATAAATTTTTTTTAATGTAAAATAGAAAGAGAATTCAAGATGGAAGAAAAATGACATGTATATTTTATATACTATGAGCCATTTTATATATAAAATGATATATATATATATATATATATATTTAAAGTTTTATGACAAACAATAATGTTCACAGAAACAAGAGGGCCATGACCCCCCATAATCTTCTCCTAGTTCCGTTCCTGCCATCCACTATGTTACATGGGCCCTTCAAAATAAATCAAATATTTATGTCAAACACACGAAAGTTCGACAAGGGTATGAGATGTGTCCAATACTTTACATCAAACACTTCTTATATATATATATATATATTTGAATAATTACTATGAGTTAAATGTCTTTTTGACCCTGCATGTTATATATAATACCAGTTTATCCCACATAATAGATTAACAATATAACATGATAATTTTTTGCTGAGTTCATGTACCCTTAAAGTTTAAGTTTGATATGTCTGACCGCTGAATATGCACTTGCATCTCAAACTATGTGTCAATTTGGTCTCTGTAGTTTACACAATGTGTCAATTTGGTCCCCGTAAACTATAGGGACCAAATTGATACATTGTGTAGACTTTCCGTCCATCAAACTTAACAACTATTCTTTATTACACTAAAATGACACAATCCGTTAAATTAAGGAATAAAATCGAGTAAATTGAAACAACAACTACCAAATTGACAAATCATGTAAACTATAAGGACCATTTGCATAATTTGTCCATTTTTCCAAGGGTAAATAACACCATAGATCTCTTTAAGTAAAGCACGAAAAATGGGCAAATAACATCATAGATCTCTTTGTGGAAAATACAAGTGCCAACTACAAAAGCACTTGTTCAGAACTACAGAGAAGATTGATGGATTTCTTTGTTGGAGAATGTTTAACTATTTTGTGGAAAATATGACATAGATATTTTTGATATGAATGCTCGTTACACATCTAGTAGAGGTCGTGCCTATCACCAAAGAGATCACATTACTATTGAGCATCATTTTCGGATTGATATTTTTACAATTATATGTGATTCTCGATTGCAAGAATTGAACAACAGATTCAAAGATGTGATGGAGTTGCTTATTCTTAGCTCTGCTTTAGATCATAGGGATGATTATAGTTCGTTCAAAATTGAAAATATATGCAAACTTGCAAATCAATTTTATCCTAATGACTTTACAGAGCAAGAAAAAATATATCTGAAATTCCAACTGCAAAACTACAAGATTGACATCATTAAACATCCTAAGTTTCAACAGTTGTTAACAATTTCTGACTTATGCCAAATGTTGATAAAACAAGGAAGTAAACAATTTATCATTGTCAATAGATTAATTCGTCTTGTTCTAACTTTACCAATCTCTATGGCAACAACAAAAAGTGCATTTTCGACCATGAAATTTGTAAAGACTAGATTGCGCAACAGGATAGATGATGGTTTTCTTTCAAGCTATTTCTTAACATATGCTGAGAAAGACATTGCTCGAGATTTTGATGTAGATTCCATCATAGATGTTTTTTATATTATGAAAGAACGTCGAGCACAAACTTTAGATGCCTAAGTAGATATGTAGAGCAAATGGTTGCTTTTTTGAAAATTAATATAGATTTACTAGAACATATCCAATTGTATTTTGATAATATTTTGTAATTATATACGATGAATAGAAACATCTAATTATATATTTTTGTGATATTTGGATAGAAATTGATATTTTATATCACATGCTCATTACAAATTTTTTGATTGCATATACACTCGCCCCCCGACATTAGAATCTTGCGTCCGTCCTAATCTTGATGTATTAAAAAGTCGGGAAAAAAAATATGACTTACAAAAAATTTTAAAAAACATAAAAAAAACAAGTTTACTAAAACCAAATGAAAATATATCTAAAAATAATTTTTAAAAAATCAAACCAAACAAAGTCCAAACTTTCTTTCTCCTTCGCTACAAGAGCTTTTTAAGAGCAAAAAAACTATCCTACTAGTCTAAGGAACACACAATATATCAAACAAAACGAGTATCAAAGACCACTCTTAATTCTTTTTTTATTTTTTTGGGTAAAAAAATAAAAAGACAAGAATAATAGCTAACAATTTTATGAAATTCCAAGTGACATGAAAGGCATAGATCTCATTTGATCTAAGGCTGCATCAAAGCTAATCCCAGTACATACAGTTACTTTGTGCACAATTACACATTTACTAGCACTTAAGTTCCATTCCTTGTCAACATACAAAGATCTGTAAATTGTTGAGCTGTGTGGTGGCATCCGAGGCTTAAGCTGCCTAATTATTAATATTAACCACCAGAACCTCATAATGCAATTTTTAGGCTATAGCCAGTCTCAATTGTCGTCCCCACACACATCATAGATGTATCAAATTACTGAGTACTCAGAAAAAAAGGAAAAGCAAGTTCTCCACTTTGCCCAGACTATGTGGGTCTCCTCTTAGAAAAATGACTGGTGATGATGCAGAAAAGCTTTTTTTCTCCTCTCAAATTTTCCCTGGTGGAGAGCAGATAAAGAAATCCTGACCCACTAACTTCAATCAACTCTCCTAGTACTGCTAGAGTCATGGGCCATGGCGACCAATCATGGTAAACAGATGGGTGCAAAATTATCATTCTATTACTCCCACAGACACATGTTTTTGCATAATTGAAGGTGATTGATTAAATTCACCAAAGAGTTTACTTGATCAGGATTTGTGTAGCCTTGACAAGCTCGTGTGTATGCCATCCACCAAGGACAGAACTAGGATTTCATTATCTAAGGGGTCAAAAGAAAAATAAATTTTTTTCATCATATACACAAAACACACATGTACATATATATGATATATAAATTATCTACACATAAAAAAAAATAAAAAAATAAAAACCATAGAAGCAATTTCTAATAGGATAAATAAGTTTTTTTTAATGTAAAATAGAAAGAGAATTCAAGATGGAAGAAAAATGACATGTATATTTTATATACTGTGGGCCATTTTATATATAAAATGATATATATATATATATATATATTTAAAGTTTTATGACAAACAATAATGTTCACAGAAATAGGAGGGCCATGGCCCCCCATAATCTTCTCTTAGTTCCGTTCCTGCCATCCACTATGTTACATGGGCCCTTCAAAATAAATCAAATATTTATGTCAAACACACGAAAGTTCGACAAGGGTATGAGATATGTGTCCAATACTTTACATCAAACACTTCTTATATATATATATATATTGTTGAATAATTACTATGAGTTAAATGTCTTTTTGACCCTGCATGTTATATATAATACCAGTTTATCCCACATAATAGATTAACAATATAACATGATAATTTTTTGCTGAGTTCATGTACCCTTAAAGTTTAAGTTTGATATGTCTGACCGCTGAATATGCACTTGCATCAGACATCCATACCCAAGTCCATGTCACATACATACGTCATATAAGACTAGATTGCCAAAGCTGTTGATGGTAAACAGTCCTCTATTATGTCTGCCCACTGCCCCAAAATTCTAAGGTTTCCAATTTCATTGTTCAATCTCTATAAGGTTACTGGCCACAAAACTAGGGTTGAATTGGTTTCCTAGATGGTCCCTCGCTAACTTTTCTGCCTATTGACTAAAGAAATGTAGTTTAAGAGTTTACACAGACTTGCTCTGGCATAACACCAACCCCCCTATATGCAAGCCTGGTGGTTGAGTAATAACAAGAATGAGCAAGTGCAATGAATGGAAGTAAAGCGATGTCGAATGAAGAAAATGAAGAGCAAATCAAGGGAGAAAAAGAGGTTCACGTGTCACCATATTGTCTGTGTCGAGGAAAGATGGGAATGGATCCACCCATCTCTAATAATTAGGCTTATAATGCTTCTACGGCCCACACTTTCTTTCTACATCAAGAGGCTGGGTGATAGACATAACTCTAATTGTCACCTCAAGGGACAACAGATAAACCTTGATAGGTGCAACTCAATAAATATGCAGTAAAATTTCACTGTGAAACATAAGTTACGTAGTAAAATAGAAATGCTACATAACAATAAAAATTACTCAACAACTCCGAATTTGAAATGTATAAATCATATTCATCTTAAGTATGACCAACACGATACAAAGTTTAAATATATACCATAATTCAAATTCTTGACATTTTACTTTTCTAGTATATGACAATTTTGATGGTAAAATATGACATCAATTTCAAATACTATGATAATTGTGTACTCTTTAATCACAACCCAATACATGAACCACATCATTGATATGCATCTAGTAACTTGTATTAATTCTCTTAAGTAGGTACTCTGCTCAAAAAAAAAATATTCAGAAAAAATATTGGATGGTCGGCTGTCTGCTCTCGAAATTCTAGCTGGTTTTTCTAGAAAGAAAAAAGGTCAACCCCAAAGTGTGTGTGTGTGTGTGTGTGTGTGGAGTGAATACAGGACCTCTGGCTCACTGCATTATCAAAACAAAAGTGAGGTTTTGAGGATGGCATGAAAAGGATGTAAACAATACAGCCCAGGGATAAATTAATATTTACCACAAAATATTTACATCCAAACAGGAACAAAACTCAGTCAAAGGACAAGAACGAACAGGGCCAATAAAAACTGAATAGGCCAAAACAACTCTTCCTCACGATAACCATTAGTATATCACAAGATATGTAAATATAATGCTTATACCTTGTTGAGAGACAATGGCACATGAATTTAATAAGCATGTGAAGAGTGGAGATTCAACTCCTTTGTATCCATATTGTGTCACTAATACTTGCCTTGCATCTTCCTTCATCTGTAATTAGGCAATTAAGAATTGTTCAGTAAGCTAGGTCAAAGGCTCAAAATATTAGACAAACAACGGTTAATTAATGCTGCTTTTAGATAAACTAATCAACAAAAGCAGAAGTTTACAATTCAACAGTGCATCATGTTCTCACCCTGTATAAAAATAATAAATTGAGCATTGTAAGTCCAACGATTCCCTTGAAACCCAGAGATCAAGAAATGAAACCAACAGGGGATGGAAAGATTCCCTGATGAAAATTGCATTGAATAGTCCCCATCCCTATATTTGTGCAAAAGAAAATGACCCACACCCTTCCACTAATATCAAGAATATAATAAAACTATTGTCTGAATAGAGCCAAAGGGGTAGATAAAAAAATGTACTATAGGCTGAAAGTGACCCCCCTCATTAAAGGGATGTCCTCAGAATTTCCAAATTTTCCATATCACACCACTGAATTGGAGGCATCCTCAGAAAATGTAAATGGGGTTTTGTCTGGACTTCGCCAAAATGGCTTGTGTATTGACGTAGTGAGCTTTTCACACTGTTTATAAACATGTTTAGCAATAAACGATTTCAACAACCACCCCAAAAAAAATAAAAAAGTAAATAACTTTTGACATCCCTTGAAGTTTATAAGTTCAGAGAAAACACAAAAAATTCACAATTTTGATATAACTACACTGACATTCTAAAGTTGTTAAAATCAGGATCCTGTGTAGGATCGGTGATAGGGTCTTGTGGATCGGATCATAAGATTGGATAGAGAATGGTAAGATCTTATTTTCTATTAAAAAAAGATAAAAATACAAATTAAAATAATACATATTAAAAATAAGTTGAAGAATCACAAAATTTGTGAACCTAACTACGATCCTATACAATCCTACTTGCAATCTTATTATAATATCGATCCTACAATGATCTGGATCATTTTAACAATGTAGAATCGTATCCGGATCGCAATTTTAATAACCATTGGCAAGAGTAAAGAGATCAAAATTAATATAAATGGTATGAACACAAAGATACACAAAGTAAAATATGTATTTTAATATAAAAGAGTTGAAAACATTATTTTTTTCATTCACATAACTAACGAATTTTTAATAAAAATGTAATTATGTCAAACTTGTGGAGTTGACTATATTTTTGCCAAACCTCACAAGAGATTAGTGTAATTTACCCACAAATTTTTTTTAAAAAAAAATAATAAAAAAAAAATCAACATTTGAACCACTCAACACCAAATTAACCAAAAACGGGTCTCATGAAAATAACAAAATTCCCAAGATATTTGAATGATAATTATTTAATTTTTCACAAATAATACTATACGGGTTCAACAATCCACAAGGAACATAGGGGGCTCAAGGTGATGAAGAGGAGACTAACTGCTGAGTTCATTTGATCTTCTCAAAATGGTAAGCTCTTAGAAGTTGAACTTGATGTGAGGGACTTCAAATGATCCGATGGAACAAAATCTTGCGGCAAATTGGCCCTCTTCACAATCCTGCTCATGTTGTTCTGCAAGCTCTGTTGGACTAATTGCTTAACTGCTTTTCTCTCTTCGCTCATCATGCCTTCTTCCTCCTCCGAATACTCCTTCAATTGAAGATTTGGGTCTGCAGACGATGACGAAGATCCACATATAGGAGCGGACACAGTAGCGCCCATTCCACCTCCAAATCTTCTCGAAACTTGCTTCCCTTTGTCAACTCTCAAACATTCTAAGATCCTTGAAGCCCTTTTCTGTGCTAATGTGCTGCCCAAAAGCGTTAACTCAAGCAATGATGAAACAAGTCCAGCCTCAATCATGGCTTGTCTATCTCCATATGATTTGTGTGCCATCACCATTAAAATATATGCCGCCTTCTCTTGACACCCCGGTGAATCAGTCCAATTCAACACATCAATTAGAATTGGCAGAGCATCCGACATGACACTAACCCCTTTACGACCTTCTGCTGTCGATACAACATTGCTCAAAATCGAGAGGATTCTTTCACTTACTTCCATGTCTCCCAATGCACTAAAGAGAAATGGTACCAAATCAGCCTCTAAAATCAGTGATATATTCAAAGGCAAAATGGAAAGATTATATAGTGCCCGCAGAGAGTCTTCCTTGGCTTGAGTACTACTTGTTTTATCCAAATCTTTTACAGTTTTCACCAAAAATGGGATTGCGCCGGAAGAACCAATAATTGGTTTATTAGAGTCTAACGCACTCAAGCCAAGAAAATTTGCAACTATTGCGTCGGCAACAGCTGGGTTGGGAAACCCATTTGGAGATTCAATGAGCTTTAGCATATTGTGAACAGCTCCTGCTTTAACAATGGCTCCTTTGTTTCTGCAAAAGGGTTAACAATAATCTGATGATGATTATATGAACTAAGCAAAAAAATTAATTTGATTGTTATTGCATTATAAAAGGAAGCTGCAAAAGCACATTTGAGAAAAACAGACAAACCAACAAATATGAAATTTTCAAAGAAAACACCAGGATATATAGAAAACGAGTTGTTTTAAATTCCAATTAGTTTCCAAATGAATAATATTTTTTTTTTTTTAACCGTTGTGGGAAAAATAAAGAGGGGTGAATTAAAGGATTTTGGGATTTCATAAAGGCCAGAAATTATAGGCAATTTAACACAACAATCCACAGGACCACAGCAATACTTTCCCAAGAATAAGAACTAAAAAGGAAAATTATGATTAATGAAAATATTTATTTTAAGAAGACAAACAATACGGATACATGCCCTGTTTAATAGGATAGCTAAAAAATTGAAATTTTAATTTTCTAACTCGTCTTTTCCTTCGCTTTCTTGCCAACCAACCAGATGTGGAAAAACAAAACGAAATGGAAGTGAAAAATCAAAACAAAAACTAGAAGCACTCACGCGTCATTGCCAATGCCGATGTTGAGAAGAGCATAGAGAGAGGCGATCTGAGAATCGAGATCTTCCGAACCAAGCAACGAGACAAGAGGCGGAATTGCTCCGAGCAATGCGAGAGTGGTTCTAGCCTCCGAATTCTCCTTCGTCAGCCTCCTCACGTCAATCGCGGCCCCCAAAACATCGTCGCCTTGTAACCTCTTCACCACTCGCTTCAGTTCCTCCAACGCCTCCACCTTTCTCTTCACCTCCTCCGCCGTCTCACGGTCCAATCCAGCTTCCGACGACTCCGACAGTCTCAGTAACTCCGATAACTTCTCCGATCCCGTATTCTTCTTCTTCTGCTTCGATTCGGCTCCGTATTCGGATCTCTGATTCTGATTCTCATTCTGATGCTTCGGCTTCTCCGGAGGCGGTTTGGTGGTTGCTCCGCCGTCGTGACGGAAGCTCGACCCCCCGCAGCGCATGGTGTCGATGATCATACGGCGGAAGGAGGCACCAGAAAACGAAGTCCAGAGGCGGGAGTTTCCGCCGCTGCCGGCGGCGTGGTCAAGCATCATCGCTCCGACGGAGTTCCGGGGACACTTAGCCATCGTCGAACCTCTCTCCTACGGCGGCGAAATTACTCACATTGCATTCTGAAACTTCACAAACAAACTTGCTAGAGAGAAAGTAGACACTACACACACTGTTCTGTCCTCCAGTTTTTCAATCTATGCTGCTTTACTTTTCTAGAGAGAGAGAGAGAGAGAGAAAGCTTCCTTGAGAAGAGAGAGATAGTAGTGGGCGCTGACCGGAGAGTGGAAGGAGAAAAAAATGAAGCGAGCCTGACTTCGGTGGTGCACTCTTAGCATTGGGAAGTGTGAATAATATACGGAAGAAGTTATTAGGTGGTTCGTAGCAGTGGCACGAAGCACTCTGCGCTATGTGATTGACGAAAAATTGAGGCTGGGTTCGGCATTTTTATTTGTAAAAATTTGAAAAGTCATTATTTGGTTTAAGTCATATTACTTTTTAATCATATTATTTTATATTCAATTTATATTTTATAAAAAATTAAAAAATAAATTTATTTAAATCATTCTAAATATCCCCAATAACATGCAATTTAAATAATTTAATTATTTGTTATTACTTTATTACAATTTACAGCTACCTCCTATCTTTATTTTTGTTCATCACCCCCCTAAAATAATATGATTTAAAAAATCAAAAATTAAAAAATTAGGCCTTGTTTGGTGGAACTTTCAAAATATAGTTCTATACTTACTTTTAAATGTGGTGTTTATTTAGGTATCGTTTGATAACACTTACGTTTTAAGTTTTTAGTTTATATTTACAAAAATTTTAAAAACTCGAATAAAAACTTGTTTGGTAAATTTTTGATTTATAAATCAGTGGTCTCAGTTTTTAAATTTGGCCAAAAAATGTAAACTCAAAAAATGTGTTTCCGTTTTGAGTTTTTTGTTTTTTTTTTTTTTACCACCTAACACTAGCCACCACCCGCCACCATTTTCCACCATCGTCTTTCGCCACCACCACCTACCTCCCACCACCATCTGCAATGTGGGACCACCACTACCACCACCACTCTGAAGTACAAAAATACATATTACATCTTGGTAAAAGGCTTCCCGCCACCATCACCCACCCGCCACCACTTCAAACCCATCATCACCACCCACCCGCTACCCACTTGCCACCACTACCCACCACCCACCACCACCACCACCCACCTGTCACCCACCCGCCACCACCACCCACCTGCCACCATCACCCGCCATCACCACCACCACCCGCCACCACTTGCCATTTCTCACTTTTTTTATATTTTTAAAATTTTTTAAACATTTTGTCTAAACCAAACGCGTTTGTAGTTTATGTTTTTCTAAAAATAAACAAAAATCAGTTTATAAAAATTTTGTAAATATAAATTGAAAACGTAAACGTTACCAAACAAGCCCTTAGCGTTTTCAAAAATTAATTTCACACTCACTTTTGAAAACTCTTTCCAATGCAGGAAAATTTGGGCTAACTGATCGTCCAGCCCGATTGTCCGAAATAGCGTTCAGTTTTTTTTTTTTTTTTTTTTTTGGTACATGTTATTTGTATATTACAAAAAAATTATTTGTGAAATTTTTTTAAAATTTTTTATAAGCTTTGAATAGAATTTTAGGTTATGTGTTTAGTTATGAATTGTAAGTTTTAGTATTAAATATTATATGTCACATCACTTAATTCAAACTCAATTGAAAACTCTTTTCAAAAGTTATAACTAAATAAATTTTTCACACTCAAATCATAATTCCAAAACTCATAAATTCAAAATACAACTCTATTCTCAAATTATAATTCTAAAATTCTACCAAATACTATCTTAGTTTTTAATTTAATTATTAAAATAAACATTTATATTTAAGGGTGGTTTGGCATAAATTAATAAATATATACTTTTTATCTTTTTATTTTTTTTTTAGTTATATCGCTTCTTTATTTTTCTATATATCTTTTTATAAAAAGTTAAAAAATACATTTATTTAAATCATCCTAAATCACCCCTAAGTGATTGAAAATTATAAACATAAAAACTTGTGATTAACATGTGACATGGTCACAAAATATTTCAACACGAAGGAGGCGTCGTTTGGAAAATGGGTTGGCTTTTTGAATTTTTTATTTTTTAGTTATTTTAGTTTAAGGTTAAAAAATTTAGTTTGAGAAGGGCTTTTAAATTTTTAAATTTTTTTATGGAAAAAGATTGTAATGATTATGAATTAAATATGATTTTTATCTTTTTATTATTATTATTACAGGAAAATCCTTCCTATTCTCCCACAGGTCCAAGGCAGCGCCCCTTACAGAGATCACCAGGGTGTCCTGTTAACCGTTCCGAGCGAGAAGACTAACCTGAGAACTTACCCCGACCTCCCAAGACAAGCTCCGCTTAAGTCAAGACTCGCACAGCGGGGGAGTATTGAACTTACACCAAGTGCTGATTAGACAACCATGGTGTCTTATTAGCAGTTCCGAGAGAGTAGACTATAACTTGGGACTTACCCCGACCTCCCAAGACAAGTTCTGTCTAAGTCAACTATAACTTGGGACTTACACCGACCTTCCCAGACAAATTCTGTCTAAGTCAAGACTCGCACAGCGGGGGAGCATTGAACCACACCAAGTACTGATTAGATAACTTGATATCCAATCTCCTAACCAACTGTGTTTCGCCCAAAAAATTAGCCTAGGGAAGAGAATTGAACCTATGATCTTGGGGCTTAAATCTCAAATCTTAAGCACAATGTCACCCACCCCCGGATTATGATTTTTATCTTATTAAACTAAAAAAATTTATTTTATTTTTTATAATTATTTTAATCCAAAAAAAACTCTCCAACCCAACTTCCCATACATACGCTGAATAATTTGTCAATATACAGTGCATGGTACTGACACCGTACTTGTGTCCTCCTCTCCTTAGTTGCGAGACAGCTTGCTCATGTCGAAGGATCTAAAAACCATTCTTCGCGAGCTTGTGGCTCACACTTGATAGACGGTGATTAAAGTAGGGTCTGGTAGTTGGGTCGTATTTCGTAGTCCTATCGTTACTCGTTCGTCAGGTTTGATTGATATTTGTAAAACAATTTTACTCTTTTCATTTTAAAATAACAACAATGATTTAGATCACTAAAAAATATATCACTAATAGCACTAATACATTAAAAATAATAAAAAAAAAGAAAAAAAAGAAACAAGGCATACAAAGTGGGAGAGGCTCACTATCACATCATTAGTGCTCCATTTCTAGTGCTCTCAAGCATTTTTCTTAAAATAATAATTCTTTTTAAATAATTTAATTTTTTTTAATAGTATAATAATTATATTTTAAAATTATTCGTTAATAATATATATTTTTTAAAAATTCAATTATTATGATTATATTTTTTATGTTATTAATAAATTTAAATGAATGGTAAAATAAAAAAATTATATTATTTTAATTATTAATTTTTGGAAAGAGATTGATATTTTAGAATAATAAAAATTAAATAAGGGATTAATATTTTAGGACGAAAGGAAGAAAAAATAACTTTTTAAAAAGATTTTATAAAATTTAAAATTTTATTTGTTTTTATATTTTGAAAAGGATTTGACTTCTCTTAGGCCTTGTTTGGCATGATTTAAAAAGTTAAAAAGTCAAAAAGTCATTATCCTATTTAAGTCACATCATCTAATTAAAATCATATCACCTTTCTAACACATCACATCAAACTCAACACATACCCAGCCCATATTTCATAAAAAGTCAAAAAGTGCACTTATTTAGATCATCACAAACCACCCCTCAAATCGGTCATTTCAACTTGAGAGAATGTTTGAATTTCATAAGCCTATTTTGCTAACAATATATTTATTTTTTTTAATCTATATTACCAAAAGTTTTTGAGATCGATTTTAGTGATTTAAACTGTTCATTCTTTAGTACTTATTGAATAATTCTTACGAACAAATCAAAATGGTCAGATATCGATAATTATATGTTTAAATCAAATTTGTGTTATAAAAAATTAATGATTATTCTTAAAATTATATTTATCATTCATTTTTTAAAAACAAATTAGATTAAAAAATATAGGCTGTCCAATCATCTTGATTTTTATATGAATATCTACCCAACAAGTCTTAAAATATGAATTGTTCGAATCACGAAAATCAATTTTAAAATGGAGGTCCAAATGCTCTCTTAAGTTGATATGACAATTTGAGGGATAGGTTTGAACTTTTGGAGTTTGGAAAGATTTTTTTTTTTTTTTTTGTAGTTGAATAGATGGATATGAGAGAAAAAATAATTGATTGATATGTAAAATATGAGAGAATGAGAGAGAAAAGAGAAAATTTGATTAATTAATATGTATTAAAAAGAAAAGTGATATAAAATTTTTGTTTTAAAAAATTTCATCAAACAAACTTTTGAAATTTTTTCTCAAAAACTCTCTCCCAAGAGACAAACTAAACAAGACCGTTGATTCTAGGTGTATAATAATACCACAAAGTATAGACTGACTCTCCATAATCTTTGGATTGAGGTTTTGTTTTGTTATTATTATATATATATTTTTTGAGGCCTTAGTAATATATTATTTTAATAATTTTTTAATTAAAATGTGAGGTAAAAGAAAATTTAGAATGATTTTTTAATTTTTTCTTAAAAAAACGTGTAAAAAAAATAAAAAAACTTTTAAACTTTTTATATAATTTATGAATTTTTTAATATTTTTAATAATTTTTTAACTTTTAAATTAAAAATTGCGTTGCGAAAGGACACTTGAGATTTCTTGTTTAATTGACTTCCCTCGGTAAATTATACTGTGACCTTTATATTCTTTATAAATCTTATTGAAACTTTTATTCTTTTTGAAATCACATCCCTTGTTAGCTAACACCGCTTTGCTAAAATAATTATAACGTTTTTATTTGATCGCATTAAAAGAATATTAGAAGAGAACAAAGAGAATAAAGGAAAAATTAGTCTAAGGACCCTCTTTCACTTTTAATAATGGAAGAGATCCACAATATTATTTTATGATGTCTAAAGTCCTTCAACCCCAAACTCATATATCACAGAGAAATTTAAAAATAAACGAAAAGGCTTCAAAAACTGAGTTTGGTCTCTCTCTTCTCTCTCTCCTACATCAACTTCAAACCCTAGCTTCTTTCTTCATCCTCATGAGCTTTCTCAGAGCTATCAAACTTTGTTCTTGCTCAAACACGTCCACACTCTTGAGCACCCTAATCTCTCTCTTCCTGATCAGGGATGGCGACATCGACCTTCAAATCAACCACGAAGAGAACGCCGATCAGCTCTCCATCAAATGCCGCCGCCGAATCCGGTTCCTCCACCAAACCTCACCG